GTCTTCTCCTCCTCTGCCACCTGTGTGTCCCCCCCTCCCCAGCCCCGAAACTCCCCTTGCAAAATCCTCTTACCTCAGCTCCCTTGATCCGCTCCCTCTCGGACACCACCAGGGCAGCCCCAGTGGGGGGCTGGATGTCCCTGTTTGCCCCTTCCTCATGCTGATTTGGGTTTTTTTTTCCTTCCCCTGCTCCTTCCCCACCACCAGGTCACCTCCTGGGGCATGGCCCCCAATTAATGAGCTGGTGCTCGGCAGCGCTTTGAAGGTGCCAGGTTCCCACCGGGGCTGGGGGGCCCTGGGGCTCCTTGGTGGCTGCACGGGGCTGGGTTGCAGCAGGTTTGGGCTGTCGGGGTGCTGGCACCCCAAAAAAGCTGGGATGGGTGCTGGGGTGTCCAAAAACTTGCTGTTCTGGGGGTTGGGGGGGGCTGCAGGTAGGGTGGGAGGTGGCGGAGCCTGTCCCCTGGTGTCCCCATAGTGTGTGGTCTCCTGGGTTTTGGGGGTGCTGCTTGGGGGGACCCTGTGCCTCAGTTTCCCCGGATGGGAGGATGTCACTGAGTGAGAAGGGACAGGGACACCGATGTGGACGGGGCACGCTGGAAATGCAGCAGCGGCTGCTGCCATTGCCGCGTCCCTCGCTTATTTTATCTTCTTAGGAGCGGAAAAACAAACAGAAACGGTTAAATACCCGCCCAGCTGCAGTGGCCCGTGTCACCCGGGGACAATGTGACTGGGTGACAGCCTGGCATCGCCTGCCCCGGGACAGGGATGGAGCCGAGGGGGGTGCGGGGTAGGAAGGGAACCTGGAGCATCCCAGGGCCGAGCTAAAACATGGAGGGGGTCCCCAACCTCCTCCCTGTGAGCTGGGGGGGTGTCCTTGTGGCCCTTCCCCAGTGCCTGCCACCAAGGGTCCCCAGGGCCCTCCCTGTCCCCTCCCCAAGGAAGCTCCTGCAGCCCCTCTGCCCGCTGTGGGTGTTGCTCCCCCAGTGGAGCTGGAACTTGTGTGTCCCCCCCTCCCACCTTCCTTCACAAAATCCTCATGGTCCCCAGCATTTCCAGTCCCCGATGTCCCAAAAGCAGCGGGGCTCGGTGTAGAGGTGCCTGCTCCCCGCGGGCAGCAATGTGCCCCTGTGCCAACCCTGCCCCTACCGTCTGCTGTTCACTCTGAAGCCTAATGATGGCGTAAGCACCAGGGGGGTTACTTAATTCCTTGCCACCAAAGGCCACCTCCGTCAGGGACAGGGCTGCCTTGGAGCTCATGCCCTGCTTGGTGCCCGTCACCAGTGGTGCTCTCTGGTTGGGGGGGGTGTCAGGGGGCTGCAATCCCCTCTTCTGGGGTCTGTTTCACCACTCTCCACCTGGCAGCGGGTCAGAGCTGGGGGGAGTGGAGGGGGGCTCCCAGTGCACCCCATTTGGCTGTGTTGTGTATGTACCAGCTCGTGTGCAGTGCCCCCCCCCTTGGGACCCCCATGGAGCCACCACTGAGGAGGAAGAGGAGGAGAAGGAGGAGGAGGAGGAGGAGGATGGGACTAACCTTGTGCCAAAGCGGCCTCTGCTTTCAGACCTCTTCTCCTCTGCGGCTGCGGGGCAAGGAGCCAGGGACGGACCTTCCTCCAGATCCCACCTTCCTCCTCCTCCTCCTCCTCCTCGGCCACTAGGGACAGAGCCAGACCTTCTCTGCGGAGGTAGGGCACCCACTGGGGGGGACCCCTTACCCTGGCAAGGGGAGGGGGGTGGGGAATGTCACCAGTGCTGAGGTGACAAGAAACAGCCCCGAAAGAAAGGGGGGGACTGTGTCTGCTGGACCCTGGGGCTCAGCCAGGCTCTGGGTGGGTTCCTCCGGGTGCCCTGTCTCCAAGGGGTGCTCATGGGGTCCCTGCTCAAGCTGTGTGAGGACCGTGTCCCCCCTCCCCAGGACACATCCTGCCCGTGGGGGCTGCCACGGGGTGGGAGGACTCGGTGGGATGGCTGTTTGGAGGCGATGGGGGGTGTCCCGCCTGCCCGCTGGGGATCTGGGATGGGCAGGTTGCCCTCCCTACCCTGGGTGTCTGGGTCAAACGGGCAAAGTCCTCAAATCCCCTGGGACACGTTTCTGGCTGGACCTGAGAAAAGCTGGTGCCAGGTTTTTTTTTGGGGGGGGGGGGGGGAAACCCGGGTGCCCTGTCTCCAAGGGGTGCTCATGGGGTCCCTGCTCAAGCTGTGTGAGGACCGTGTCCCCCCTCCTCAGGACACATCCTGCCCGTGGGGGCTGCCACGGGGTGGGAGGACTCGGTGGGATGGCTGTTTGGAGGTGATGGGGGGTGTCCCTGCTGCCCGCTGGGGATCTGGGATGGGCAGGTTGCCCTCCCTACCCTGGGTGTCTGAGTCAAACGGGCAAAGTCCTCAAATCCCCTGGGACACGTTTCTGGCTGGACCTGAGAAAAGCTGGTGCCAGGTTTTTTTTGGGGGAAACCCTTGGGAACCCCCAAAATCATGGAGGAGCTGCCTCTCCTCTTTTCCCCCCCCTCTCTCCTGGGTGCCCGCATCCCGTCTCCCGGGCATGTGGGATGTGGCTATGGGGGGCCACACGTGGCTGTCCCCACTCAGGACAACGGGCACCGTGCCCGGGCTGTGGCTGGGGCGCTTTCGGCACCCATCCAGCCCCGTCGTGGGTCGGAAAAACCCGAGCAGGGCACAGGGAGGCTGGCTGCCCGCCCGGTGCTGAGCAAACAGCCGGGGCAATCTTTAACCCCTGCCCCTCGCCCCCGCCGCGCTGCAGGGACTTGGGGACGCCGGCACAGCCCCTCTGGAGTCACCTCTCCCTCCTCCTCCTCCCTTCCCCCCCAAAACTCGGCTGAGGGTGAGGAGCTGGGGACGCGCGGCGGGACGGGACAGCAGGTGATACCCACCGTGGGGTGGTATCAGGGAGGGGACAGGGTGTGTGGGACACGCTTGGGGACACCAGGGTCTTGGGGACCAGGAGGATGGAGGAGGGGGTGACCTGGCTTGTCCTGGGGCTCCAGGGAGGGGGGGAGGCATCACTGCCCCCCAGGGATTGGTGCTGCTGCATCCCAGAGCTGGGAGGGGACACTGGGGACAAGCAGGGTGATGCCACCTTGTCTTCCTTGGGCTGGTGCCTTGTCCCCTGAGTCCCCTCACCCCAGCAGCTCCCTGTCCCTCCGGAGGGGCTCCTGCACCCCATACAGCGGGGTAGCGTGGGGGGAACCCCATGGGGAAGCAAAGGGGTGCCACCCCCACCTCTCCCTGGCACAGCATCCATCGCCAAGGCCATGGCAGCCCGACCCCAGGGCTGTGAGAAGCCCTTCCACATCATCTCCCCCGTCCTGGAGAGCCTGCCCCTCTCCAAGGCCGCCGGCACCAAGGTCTACATGAAGCTGGAAAACGTCCAGCCCTCGGGTTCCTTCAAGATCCGGGGCATCGGCCACCTCTGCCAGGAGGTGAGCGTGGGCAGGGTGCTGTCTGTACCTGGGGGAGGGGGGAAATGGGAGGACAGCGATGGGGGGACACAGCCACCCCCTTTCCCTTCTTCCCTCTTGCCTTTCAGGCTGCCAGGAAGGGCTGCCGCCACTTCGTTTGCTCCTCAGGTAATTGGGATGGTGGGAGCTACGGGGGGATGGATGGTCATGAGTAATGTGATGGGGAGTGAGATGGAGGCGGGGGGGGCTTGAGCCCTGCCTGACCCCCACTTTCCACAGGGGGGAACGCGGGCCTGGCGGCAGCGTATGCAGCCAAGAAGCTGGGGATTCCAGCCACCGTGGTGGTCCCCAGCACCACCGGCCCCACCACCATCCGCAAGCTGGAGGAACTGGGGGCAGAGGTGGAGGTCTCTGGCAAGGTACCTCCATGGCAGCCCCCTAAAACTGGGGTCTGGGGTGGGGGGACCCTGAGCTCAGCCTGCCCTGCGATCCCCCTCCTGCCTCACCTGCACCCCAACATCACAGCAGGGCCACCCTGGGGACATCCCCATCCCCAGCCCAGTGCCCTGCGTGGGTTTCTGGTGTCCCCCAGCCCCATGGTGATGAGGGACCCATCTCTGGGGATTGAGGGCTGGATGCGCCCCTCCAACCTGAGCTCCCATCACCCCGCTCCCCCAGGTGTGGGATGAAGCCAACAGGAGAGCCCTGGAGCTGGCAAAGACCGAGGGCTGGGTCAGCATCCACCCCTTCGACCACCCCTTGGTGTGGTGAGTGCTGCCAGGACTCAGCTGAGTGCCCCCCCCACCCCATCCCTAGGGGTTGGGCTGTCTCGGGGTGCCCCCAACCTGCATCCTTTTCCCTCCTCACCCCACAGGGAGGGTCACGCCAGCCTGGTCCGGGAGCTGAAGGACTCTCTGGAGACCAAGCCGGACGCCATCGTGCTGGCGGTGGGCGGCGGGGGGCTGCTGGCGGGCGTCGTGGCCGGCCTGCACCAGGTGGGCTGGCAGGACGTCCCCATCATCGCCGCCGAGACCTGGGGGGCTCACAGCTTCCACGCGGCACTGGAGGCCGGCCAGCTGGTCACCCTCCCCGACATCACCAGGTAGAGCCGGGCTTTGCGGGGAGCCACCATGCGTGCCACGAGTTGGCAGGTCTCAGCCCAGTTCACTGAAGGGTCTGGGACCACCCTGACCCCTTTCCTCCCCCCGTCCTGTCCCAGCGTGGCCAAGTGCCTGGGAGCCAAGACGGTGGCGGCGCGGGCACTGGAGTGTGCCCAGGAGTGCCAGGTCATCTCCCAGGTGGTGGAGGACACGGAGGCTGTGCGAGCCGTGGAGCAGTTCCTGGGTAAGCAGGATCCAGCTGGAGGTGACGGGGACACCCGCCGGGTCTCGGGACTGAGCTGGGATGTGACGGAGTCGGTGTGGGGGGGGGATGATGGGGATGATGGGGTGGGTGGGTGTCTCAGCGTGTCCCCCCAACCCTCTTGTCCCCGCAGACGACGAGCGGATGCTGGTGCAGCCGGCGTGCGGGGCCGCCCTGGCCCTGCTCTACACAGGGCGGCTGCAGCGGCTGCAGGGCGAGGGGGGGCTGCGGACCCCCCTGGCCTCCGTGGTGGTGGTGGTGTGCGGGGGCAGCAGCATCCAGGCGGCCCAGCTGAGGGCCCTGAAGGACCAGCTGGGGATGGAGTGACGCCCGTCCCCGAGGGAGGGGGACACGACAGAGCCCTCCCGGCCCCCTCTGCTTGTTTTCCTTCCCAAATCACCGAAATAAAGGCTGGTGGATGCAGCGCCGGTGTCATCCCGCAGCCCCAGCACACAGCATCCGTGTAGGGACGGGGAAACTGAGGCACGGGGGTGGGGGGAGGTGGATGAGACCGGGAAGGGATGGAGCCTGTGCCTGTTCCCATGGCAGGACGGGGGGGTCCCACATCCTGCTCTGCCCCATGGATGTGCCAAGCGTCCTCCTCCGCATCCCCCCGCCAAAAAACCCTCGCTCCCCCCTCCCCTGCTCTTCCCCAGGCTGTTTGGACTGCAGCTCCCCGCCTCAATTAACAAGCACTCCCTCTCTGACTAATTACTTTGCTACTGTCTTTATGCATTATTATTCTAATGATTATTAATTATTACAATCTTCTCCCATTCCTGCCGCGCTGTCTGCTGTCAGACGAGAACAACACACACGGACCCGCTCGTTACAGTGATTTATTGGCCGAGCTCCCCGGCCGTGTTTAACACCCACGGGCTTCGAGATGCACCAACACGTGTGTGTGTGTGTGGGTACCCCATCCCGGAGCATCCGGGACCCCCCTTTTTCCCCCCATCCCACTCTCTTTTTCCATTCCCCCCTTTCCTCCAGGCTTTCTTGCTCTCCCTCGCTCCCACTCCAGCGCTGTGTTTGCTTTTACCCCTTTGCTATTGCACCTCCTGGGGTTTTTTGTGTCGTCCACCCCCCCAGTGATACTTCTCCCCCCCCTCTTTCCCCCCATTCCCAGGCGATCTGGGGTCTTGCTCCCACTGGGACCCCCCACCCCTGCCTGCTCCCCCAGCTGAGCCCATGCCCCAGGCACCACCCGGTGGTCTCAGGCAGGGAGATAAACCCTTTCCTGCCCCAAACTCCTTCTCAGCCTCCTCCTCCTCCCCCTGGGAGCAGAGGGGGCTCACCCCCAGGACCAGCTCAGCCCCCGGATCACAGGAGTGCCCCCATGAAACCCTTTTCCCTGGTCCCTTCCCGGGACCTGGCTGCCAACCCTACAAAAACACCCTCCCTGCCTTCCACCCTTTTCCTCTCTCCCCCAGTACATCCCACCGACCAGGCCAGACCCCCAAATGCTTCCTGGAGGCCAAAACCCCATAAATCAAAACTCTGCCTCTCCATCGTGGGCAATATCTTATGTAAAAAGGTGTTTCCAGGGAGCACCGAAGGCTGGAGAATCCTATTACGAGGCGCACTATTAATTATAAGGAGTCAGCCCAACCTACTCCAGCCATTTTTTATCCCAGGTCCAAAACCTGATTACTTTCCACCTTCTGCAGACCTTCCCCTTCCAAAAAAAAAATAAAAAGGGGGGGGGAAAAAAGGTCAGAAAAAAAATAGCATTGGTGTTTGCCCAATGGCTTTTGAAAAGGAATTTATTCCTGGGACTGATGTTGCTCTGGCGGGTCCCGGGGGGAGCCGATGGTGGCGTTTCCCCAGCAGGGTCCCATGGGGGTTATTGCTGGGGGTACACGTGGGCAGGACTGCAGGGTTTGGGGTGACCCCCCTGAGCACCCCACCAGGGAGCTTTGCCCCTTCCTTGCCTCCTTTTGCCCCCTCTTTTGCCCCCTCCCCTTGGCTTTGGGTGCCAGCTGGGGGGGTGATTGAGCTTTGGATGTCTCTGGTAGGGACATGGGGGTGCAGGTGATCTGGGGGACACCACGGGGGGGGTGGGCATGGCCTCAGCTGGTGGGAGGTGACCCGTGGTCACCCTGTAGGTGGAGGCAGGTGTGGAAACCTGGGTGCTGGTGCCTTCTCGGGATGATGGGGAGACCCCCGTCTTGGTTGTGATGCTGTGATGGGGACCCCAACTGCAATGGGGACCCAGACCCCCCCGCTGTGGTTAAGGGCTGGGATAACTGGGGGCTGAACCCAGTTGCTCCCAGCAAGGCCAGCTCCATGTCCTGGGATCCATCCCCTGTGCTCTCCCCAGCCATCAGGACCAACGGGGGTTTGCTGGGACCAGCAAGCCCCCCAGCTGGTGAACTGGGGGGAGGTTTGGCTCCTGCACCCAGTCCCTGCTGGGGTGGCTGCTCCCGCTGAGCCCCGTCCCCCTGCACAGACCCCTCTGTCCCCCTGCACGGGAGGTGGCACCAGCATCATCCCAAATCCCTCCTGCAGCCTGTCCTGTCCGATGGACGGGGTGTCCCAGCAGCCTGCAAACAGCCCTCAGGTGTGTGCTTTGGGTTTAATAATAATAATAATAATAATAATAATAATAATAAAGACCAGCCAGTGTTCACCCAGCGAATGACCTTGTGCTCCGTTTTACAATGCTGAAAATTGTGCTGGGAGGACATTTTTTAACAACACACACCCCCCATCCTTATGAAACCCCCCTGTTAAGCCAGTATCACCGACAGCTTGGAAGGGGTGGAGCAGGAGCTGTGCCCCTGCCTCAGTTTCCCCACTTGTTAAAAGGAGAGAAGGTGCTTTTCTTGGTGGGTGATGAGAGCCTGGTGTCTTTGTGATGGCCCCAGCTCCTGCCTGAGGGATCCCTCGGGGGTTTGGCCTGGCTCGTTTGCCCCCCCCCCATTATTAATGCTGGTAATGGTATAGGAAGGATAAATTCCACCACTTGGCTGAACAGAGAAAATATGCAGAGAAGTGGCTGGCTTTTCATAAATCATCGGTGCTCTGTGCTACAACCAAGCCAGGACTTAAAATTCAGGTCAGGAGAGAGGGACTCTCGTAAGCCAGTGAGGGAAGGTAATTTATTCTGTTTATATCTTTTTACTGCAAGACAAGGCGGGGGGGGGGAACAACTCTGCCATGATTTTGCATTTTAAATATTAGTTCAGAGCTGCAGCCTGCCTTGGACTTTATTTTTGTATCATCTCAGACGACAAGAGAGGGAAATTGGGGAGGGGGAACAGGGGGGATGGGGGAGGATAACCCCCTCCTGCCTGCCATCAGCCCCCCCCCTCCATGGGACAGATGGGGCAAAAGCTGTGTTTGTG